GTTTCTCATATGGGAGGTTGATTAAGAGGTCAAATGAGAGGAAGAGTGAGGGTCTGAAAGAAAGAATTAAGATGTTGGACATACATATACAAACTTCCATAAGGGATATAATCATTATGTACTGGAAACATGAACTGTTATGACCTGTAACTAGATGTCCCCCCAAAGCACTATGCAGTCATAGGTGTGGCTTTTCAGAGGTAGCTGGGTCTAAGGTGTGGGATACTGGGATTAAGGGTGCCCCACCCTGGGTTTGTGTGGCACTAATCAACAGACTTGCAGCCTGGGTAGAATACAAAGGTTGCTGCTGCTGCTTTGCTGTCTCCTGCCTGCCTGCCTGCCATGGACTGTTTCTCCTCTGCTATGCCCCTCTGCCACGCCACCCTGGCCTGGAGCCAGCCTACTGAGGACTGAAACCTCTACAAACTGTGAGCTGAAATATACCTTTCCTCCTTTAATTTTGAGTGTTGGATATTTTGTCTCCGCAATGAGGAAAGTAACAAAGACATGTACTAATAAAAAAGTGAATAAAAAACCCACTACTAAGGTTTTATTTTACTCCAGAAAGAATGGTTATCATCAAGAAATAAAATAATAAATGCTAGGGAGGCTTCAGGGAAAAAGGAGCCCTTCTACATTTTTGATGGGGATGTAAAGTAATACAACCACTATGGAATTCAATATGGAGATTTCTCAAAAAACTAAAATGATAAATTCCACTCAACCCAGCTATTCTCCTTTTTAGGTATCTTCCTGAAATAATTAAAGATCTAATATATCAGTGATACATATATATCTATGTTTATAGGAGCTCAATTCATAATAGCTAAATCTTGGATGCAGCCTATATTTCACCAACAGATGAATAGATAAAGAATATATGGGGCCAGGTATTTAGCTCAGTGGTTTCAGCACCTGCCTCACAAGTGCAAGGACCTGAGTTCAATCCCCAGTACAAAAACAAAAAAATATATGATGTTTATACACAGTGGAGTACTACTCTGATGCAAAAAATATAAACTTCAGCCATTTGTAGGAACATGGCTGCACCTTGAGACCATAATGTTAAGTGAAGTAAATCAGACATGTAAGCTTAAATATCACATGGCTCCTCTTATATGAGACATTTAAATTATAAATAAAGACCAAAATGAAAAATGGATAATGAGACGTAGGAAAATAGATCTGTTTAAATTGGGAGGATATCAAGAGATGGAATGGGGAGAGGAGGGAAGGGAATAAAAAAAGAATTGAGGTGTGTTATGTACATGTACCAACTCCCTACAAGGAATGCAATCATCATATAATGCAAACACATACTAATAAAGAATAAAAACTGAAAAAAGGGGTATTCCATGTTCAAAATCTCAGAGCCATTTTCAGATCTATTCAAACTTATTCTACACTACACTAATGCAACACGTATCATTTTGGCCAGTGACAAATTGCATGTGCAGCAGAACTCCATGACTGTATTGCCTAGTGACATCATAGTTATCTTAGTTGGCAAGTACAGTTATGATGTTTGCACAATGAAGAAATCACACACCTGATGACACATTTCTCAGAATCCACCCATTATCAAACACATGGTTGCCTATGGAAATCCAAAAGACCTAGGATAGTAAATTGAATAAAAAATAAAAAAGCTGGAAGTCTCACATCCTCTATTTGCAAGACTCACTGTAAAAGCTTCCAATGATCAAAACAGCATGAAACCTGAAAAATAATATACACATAGTCAACTGATTTTCAATACGGACTTAAAAGCAATTCAATAGTGAAGAAATTGTCTTATAAAATAGGCTGGTCTAACTTAGAGACAGACCATACACTTTCCAAAAATTTGACTCAAAATGAGTCCCAGACATAAATTTAAAATACTAAAATACAAAATTTCTAGATGAAAACGTAAGAGAAACATTGCTTGACCTTTAGCTTGATGAATAGCTTCCAGACACATACCAAAAACATAATCCATTAAGCAAAAAATTCATAGATTGGCATTGTTAAATTTAAAAATATCTGCCCTGCAAAAGACACTGCTAACAGAATAATAAGACATGCCTTACAATGAGAGGAGATATTTCCAAAACACTTATCTGATTAAGAAATCTTGTCTTTAAACACTGTACAGAACACTTAAATCTGAACAATAAGAAAATAAATGAATTAATTAAGAAATGGTCAAAAGGTCTGAATAGACATCTTACTAAAATGAAAATTAGTGCATGAAAAGACAAAGTTGCTCAAAGTTATGTCATAGGGAAATGCAAATTACACTAATGGTGAAACCTGCTACAGGCCAATTAGTAAAGTATTATTTTTTTTTGCTATTGTTATCTTGGTGATATTTTCATACATAAATATGCTCTTCATTTTCACCTCACCATTACCCTCCCTTCCTCTACTCATTCTCCATCTTTTTCTCAAAGTTTCCCATGTACTTTTATGTTCTCTCTTTTTTATTCTAGATACCGTGCATGAGAAAAAAACTTCATATTTGTCATCCTCCGTTTGGTTTACTTCTCCTAAAATGATGATCTTTAGTTTCACCCACTTTTCTGCTGATGAGAAATTTTGTTGTTGGTGGCTGAGAAACATCCCACTGTGTACGTGTGCCACATTTCCTTAGGCTTTCATCTGTCGAGGGACTCGTAGGCTGATTTCATAACTCAGCTAACATGAGTGACGCCACAGTAAACTCGGGCAAGTGGGTATCTGTATGACACACGGACTTCGATTCTCTCTGGCATATTCTAAGGAATGCCACGGTTTGATTATATGGTAGTTCTACTGTAAGATCTGAGGAACCTACACTTGTTTCCATAGTAACTCTACTACTTTACATGGCCCAGAACTGTGTGTGAGAGTTCCTTTTTCTTTGCATCCTCCCCAGCGTTTATTACTTTTTGTATTCTTGATGATAGACATTCTAATGAGGTGAAATAGAATCTCAATGTAGTTTTTATTTGCATTTTCCTGGTGATTGAAAATGTTGAACATTTTTTCATAAAATTATTGCCCATTTTTACTTCGTTTCAAAACTGTCTGTTAGGTTAATCTACACACTTACTGAGTGGATTACTTGTTCTTTGAGTGTTAAATTTTTTGAGTTTTTAAAACTATTTTGGAAATGCAGCTTCTGTTAGAGGAGCAGCCGACCAAGAGTCCCCGTTCTGCAAGCTGTTTTTTCTTTTAATCATTTCCACTGATGCAAGGCTTAGCAGAAGGAAAAAACACAGGTTTTTATCAGGCAAGACTGATAAATAAGAACATTTGGTAATCATAAAAAAAAATAAGAAATTATGGACAGAGTATACAAGACCTCTAGGACAGGATTAAGGGACCAAATTTAAGAATAATAGGCCTAGAAGAAAACAAAAAGGTAGAGATTAAAGGCATAGAAAACTTTTTCAGTTAAAAAAATAGCAGAAAAATTTCATGTTCTTGGGAAACAAATGGACATTCAGGTACCGGAGGCATTGAAAATCACAAATAGACATGATCAGAAAAGAATCTCTTCATGATGCATTATAGGAAAACTTCCAAAAACACAGGAAAATAAAGAATATTAACATCTGCAAGAGAGAAGCACTATGAGGTGCTCTCATCAGGTAACAGTAGATTTCTCAGCAGAAACTTGCTGGCTAAAAGGGCATGGAGTGATGTGTTTCAAGCCCTGAAAGAATAGATTCCAGCTTAGATTACTACCAGCAAATTTATCCTTCAAAACTGAAGAAGAAATAAAGACTTTCCAAGATAGGCACAAAAACAAGCATAACCAGCAAACCAGAATCACAGAAGATTATTAAAGGAATCCTACACCTGTCAGCGTTCTTACAACCTGCAAATCAGCCGTATCAGCAGCTGGCCAAGATGCAGATCTCTCACTCACTGCAAGTGAGAGCCTAAACTGGTGCCCCTTGGAAGACAGATTGACAGTTGCTCCCAAACTTAAACACATGTCTTCCGTCTGACCCAAGAACCATGCCCATAAGTATTTACCGAACTGATTTGAAAAGTATATTTATACAAACACCTGCAAGAAAGTATTTATAGCAGCTTTATTTATGATTTTCAAAAGCAGGGAGTAACTAATATATCCTTCAGTATAAGAATGGAGAAACAGACTATAGTACATCTGTTCCATGGATGCTACTCAATATTTCAAAGTATGAGTAATGCAGCCTCATAAAGATATACATGAATGTTCAATGGTTCTTGCTAAATGAGAGGAGCCAGTTTGAAAAGACTAGTGTTTGACTCCACTCACATGACATCTAGAAAAGGTAAAACTATCAAGTGAATAAAAATATGACTGGTTGCCTGGAGGAGTGAGTGGGTGAGGACAGATAGATGGATGATTTTGAGGGCAGGAAAACTACTGTGCGTGATATCATAATGATACGTGCATGACACTTCTCCTTTGTCAAAACCCATAAAACTTCATGACACAAAAGAGAAAACCTTATTGTATGCAAAATTAAAATAAATTATTTTGGAAGTCAGGTAGCCACAAAGTAAAATACAGAATATGACCAAGAAGTCTAACCTAACTATGTTACAAATGCATAAAATAACTTCCCTGACAGAGGTGGAGAAAGGAGGGCTGGTCTAAGTGACTTCTGAAGTGACAGTCATCTGTGAAACTAACATCAAAAGACCTGAAGGTACCTAAGACCTGCAATCTGATTGATGAAAGGTGTTTCCCACAAGAGAAACCACCATAGATCTATACCTGAGTTGAACAATTAAGTGGCTGGCCCACGGTATGAGCCATGTTTTTACTTCTAAAAAAGGAAGTTGCAGATAACAAAGAGGAGAGCTCTGCAATGATCCACGTGATAATGGATTCGCGTTGGAGACATTATGAAATTGCATTCAGCTTAATATAATTAATTTAGTTAATATAAACATATTTTCATATAAAACTGTTTATGTATGCATATAGAGACATATATGTGAACACACACAAATATACAGGAGAGTGCACCCACCTGTATTCCTGCATTCCCTTAACTTAGGGTCTGGAAGCAACGGCTCACTGCAGCAGCACACTTCCACAGCATCACAGCTTGGTCTTGAACCTCATTCTCCAGAAGGAACCAGCATCTCTGAAAGGAATGGCTGATTCTGGGACTGGCTCAGGACATTTATGTGATGCCTTGAGCATCTTTTTAGTGGCAAAAATGAGCAAAAGAGTCTAGTCATGAGGAAAAAAACCAGACAAATCCTAACTAAGGCAAATGTTACAAAACATCTAACCGCCACTCAAAACTATCAAGATCATCAGCAAGTCAGAGGAAGTGTCAAAGAAAAAGAAGAGACAAAACAACGCAACCTAATATGATATCCTAGCTGGGCAGCCAGAGCAGCAGAAGAAAACTAGGCGAAAAATAATGAAATTGAAATATTGCAACATTGTTTCATTAATTATCATATATATATATACACACACACACACACACACCTACGTTTCTAAAATCAGGTGTTTATAGTGAAGGAAACTGGTTGTGGGGTACAAGAGTAGTCTATACTTTCTCCACAACATTTCTGTAAATCTAAAACTATCCTAAAATTAAAAGGTTATTCAAAAAACTTAATATCTGTAATTTTCTTCAACAGATGAAAATTACTGTTTTATGTTAGTCGTTTGACATTTAATGTACAAAACATTTTCCAATAGTCTCATTGCTCATTAAAAGTCACTGATTCATAGGTTTTTAGTGACAGAGAGTATCTTAGAAAAACTCATAATCCAGTATTCTGAAATATATACATAACAACCAATTATATTCAAATTAAATGCCAATAATTCAGTGAACTTCAGTTGACATCTGATATACCTTACTCCAGTCTTTTGTGTGAGGTTCTGTGTAATTCATTTATAAAATAAACAGCTGAATGGACTCCTATTCCTTATGTAATGCTTTCCTTTAACTGGCAGCATGGTTTTGAATATCACAGGGTTTTGTAATTCTGTTCTCCACCCTATAAGGATGACAGAATTGATATTAAATCAATATTTTTAACTTCAATATATCTATCAAAGAGACAGTTTCTAAGAAGCATTTAAATAATAAATGAATATGTAGTCTGACTATAAGAGTAATGCTTTTTAAGCAATTAGAAGCTGTCGGGAAAGTCAGCACACCAACAGCAATGTTCTTTTTTTGAAAGAAACAACAACAACAAAGTCGATTCTTAAATAATATCTAAGAATTTAGTTTTCTAAATGTCTTGGCATTTGGATTTGAGTTTTGTAGTAGCATAAATGTTAGTAATACAATTAAATACACAAAGCATTAAAATTTTGTGCTAAAAAAATAAAGAAAATTTTGTGTTAAAGTTAAGAATAAGTGTTTAGTGATAAATAGTACAAATTGTGATATTCAAATCTTCATTTTAAGTCATCATTGATAAATATAAAATGACCCTCTTCCATCCAACAAAGCATAATAAAAAGAAAAGAAAATATCCTCCATGATTTTAAGATTATACTTAGCTTCTTATTTTTACAATATCTCGCTCCCCCTTTCTTTCTCTGCAATAATAGATTTCATTCAGGAATCCCTTCCAAATCAAAGCTCATGAGGATAAGATCATATGGAGAGTCAAAATGAAACTAGAATTCAAGCGTAGGCAGACAGAAGGTATTTGAAGTTATCTGATTAATTCATTATGTATTTAGGAACTGTAACTACCTGCCTAGATACATCTTTATTTTCTACAGTTAGACTTATACCTTCAAAAAAAAAAGATACGCAGTTTATACTGTATACTCTATGTCTTGCTTGTCAAAGTGTGATGTGTGAATCAGCCACTTCAGGATCACATGGTGGTTGTTAGAAATGCAGAATCTTGATCCCTACCTGATGTCTACTGAATCGAACCTACACTTAACAAGTCCCCAGGGGATGTGCCTGGACATTTAAGTCCAGGGAGCAGCACCATTCCACATAACTACTGCTATCTGAAACAATATTTCATCAGGATGTGCTTCACAAATTCAAGCTATAGTTCATTTTTTGTTTGTTTGTTTTTTGTTTTTTGAGACAGGGTCTTGCTTTGTCTTTCAGGCTGGCCCTAAACTCACTGTGTAACCCTCAAAATTGCAGCATTCCTTCTGCCTCAGCCTCCTGAGTGCTGGTATTACAGGCATGCCCCACTATGCCTGGCTGCAGTTTATTTTTGAATGGGTTGCTATTTCTTCTGTTTTTCATTTGTTTTAGTCCCCCTTCCAGAATTTTTTCCTCTGTGATGTTTCAAGGAATCCGCCTCTGTAACTGGTTTCTGTTCTGCCTCTGTTCATGGCCGTAAGAAGCCAGTTATTGAGAAAGGACAGAAGGTAGGGAATTACACCACTAATATTTGCATTGATTCAGCAAATAGTTAATAAATGCTTTTATGTGATTTAAAAAGTAAGCCTTTCTTGTTTTCAAAACAATCATTTTGAAAGTAAGTAAAATACTAACGTGAATAAAAATTTGAAACATGCATATGAAAAGGTCTAGAAGATGTCCCCAGAAGGTCACAGTATTTGAAATATAAGGCAAAAGAATTTGTATTTTGACATTGAACTCCAATAAAGGAGCTGTGTGTGTATACGTGCATGTGCATTTTAAACCCTTATCAAGATTTTAATTTGCTGTCAAGGGCAACTTGTCATATGAAGATGAAACTGTTGCATGATTCATTTTCCAAGTGTGGCTATGCCAGTTTGACAGCTGAGATAATTTAATCTTGGTCTTTCTGCATCGGTATTCAAAAAGAATCTAAAGCAGAAAGAAGCACTTGGTTTTGTTTTATTTTTAGGATGAAGGAAACAGTTTGCACCTTCTCTGACTTGGTGACCACAATGAGCTCACAGACCAAACACAGGTGTGTATGTGAATGGAGCGAGCTCTGAGATACGTGTCTTGCTGTCCTCTACATGTGTGCTTGAATGACAGACACACCGTCACAAGAGGCTGCAACAGTTACCTGGCAAAATCCGTGTTTACCTCAAGCTGCAATTGACATTTCCAGCTTCTTGTGTGCATGTCAACACTGTTTCCAATCACTCCCACTCAGTCCGTGTGCCTTGGCCTTGGTCCTCAGGCCGATGTCAGACGACCGAGTCTGACTTTACTTCTCAGAAACGCAATCAACATCAGCAGCAGTGCAGTGGGATTCATAATAAGCCAGATATGTGCAGGGTTGAAATAAGGCAGCAGCAGCTATGGAAACAAGGAAAGAGCTGCTGATGGGGCGATGCTCTCAAGAGTTAGCCCACTCCCCACAAACGGGACCTCCAAAGCCACAGCGAGGGCCCCCGATCCCTGAGTGTGGCCCTGGGCCGCGATGGCGCATGGTGGCAGCCGCCCTGCATGACCACACAGACGTCGCTCCTAGAACGTCTGGGCTCTTCCCACAGCAGCGGCTCCTGTTTTCTTTATCCTTACAGTGCAGGCATGTAATCCATCATGCCAGTAAGTAAAGCTGTCAGTCCTCTTAATCCATCTCCATAACAGCAAGGCAAGCTCCTCATGCTGGCTTTGTTGCTGCAACAATTATACTAGAGTCCTGATTCTGATGTTTCTTCCTATTCTCATTTCCCTCTCCTGTCAATACTAGTCTATGAAGCCAAATTACACATGCACACACACGCACACACACTTTTTAACCCTTAACTATGATTATTATTATTGAGAGTTTGTCATATGCCAAGCATCCCATGAGTTTCATGTATATTTCTTTACACATTCAAAACAACCCTCAATTAATTCTAATGGAAATACTAGCATTATTAGTCTGTGCCATAAATTTAACATGTATATTACCTCATCATATTATTATGAGATGCACATACATTTGGACTCCTGAACAAAACTGTGTCTTAAAGTTAATGATGCATAATAAGTTATTGTGCATAATAAGTTATTGTGCATAATAAGCTCAGGATAAATATTGCAGGGTTATTTGAAAATCCATGACAATGTATTCTTAAAAGCTTAAAAAAGGACATATTCATATAAATAAATGTAAGAAGGTACACAATATTCTATCTATGCACAGCCAAAAACATTCAAAAAGCAGTATTTATGGGAGCAATAAAACACAAAACCCTAAATTAGATGAGCAAAACCATGATTTTTTTTCTTTCAAGCTCAAATATTTCACACTTGCTTATATCTACTGATAGCAGTAAAGAATTTTGCTAAAGGTTAGTTCAATCATTTTTTATTTAACTCAGTTGATTTTAGGTAAAAGACAAATTCAATAACTCAATGAGATAATAGAAACTTCAGGTTCCATGCAAGGCTATTCTTCTTTCTCGTTTGTTTTCTCCCAACCCCCTTCCTGTCCATGAATGTTAAACATGTTAAAGTAATGTTATGCACAGTGTGTAGTTATGACCATAGAAATAGTATGTTAGGCAAAATCCTGTGGAATCAAGCCCATGACTGTGAACATATAAAAAGTTAATGTTTATGTGCCCATTCCATGACCAACACTATTCTTCCTGTCCAGCAACATCAGGTGGATCATTGCCCCATTATTAGAATCCAGTCACACCTAGGACTAGCCCTAGGTAAAGGTTAATAGCTACGATTCTGAGAGGAGACTTCTATACAGTCATTCTGGACTGTGGTTAAGAGCAAAGTCAAGGACCAGGGATTTAGCTCAGTGGTTCCGGCACCTGTCTGGCAAACACAAGGTCCTGAGTTCGATCCCTGGTACAAAAAAAAAAAAAAAAAAAGCAAAGTCAAGCAGGAGAAGAAAGTCTCCCAGGTCTCTTGACATGAAATTGACTGTTAGTATGTCTCACTTGTCCCACTTTAAGAAGTTAGAGGATGTTGCCCCAAGTTATTTATTTGAGGAAATATCTGGAGTTAAAGATGCTGAAGATGATCACATGGTAGAATTCTCTGCAGCTGAGGATATTTAAGACCAGCTTCCTAGATAAGTAGAGAAAGGTATTTTGCAAACCAATATCTTCTCTTTCATGGAACTGACAGGTTACTGGAGTTGCAGGTGGGAGAAATGTGAATAACGAGGATTATCTGGAGAACCCATAGGCCACTGGGTGCATCTTCTTATTTTGTAAGTATGTGGATCACAGCCACACAGCCAAAATTCAAATTATATTTTCAAACATGTATTGCTACACTTTAGAGCAGTGTGTACATTTCTAAAATGCAACAGAGAAATATAGCTGAAAGATATTCTTCTGTTTTCTTCCTTGTTTCTCATTGAAATGGGCCCCATAAATATTAGTTGTTTTGGAAACAACTAACTACATTCAGAAGTCAGAGAGAAGCAGCTTGAGGAAAGTAATCACATTTCTGCAGGCTTTTCTTAGACGTGAAAAAATGTATGTCTTATGGTTTTAACTTTAGATAAAATTGTCTGCCTCCTGTTTGGTTTAAATCCCACATTTGACTGGTGAAATACGATGACCTTTATTGGTTTTCTGGTCTTTCTTGGACTTTCTTTCTTTCTTGACCTTTCTTGGCCTGTAATGAATTCTTAAACAAAACATTGGAATTTTATAAGAACAATACTCTAGGAATAGGCTGAAGTAAGACGTGCGCTTTAACAATATCATCTTTTATTAATGACTTTGAGAAGCTAATGTTGTGATTGGTTCATTGTAATTCAACACATTTAACTGAGACGTACAACAATCTTTAGTCCCAAAATGTGTAGGACAGCCGCAACATCACAGATTCTGTTCAGCTCTATTCCTTTCTCTATTCACAGGACCAGGCCTCATGCTCTGGTTTGGAATTGAAAGTGGATAGTGATCTTTACTATAAATCGTTGTTCCTCTTCCCCAGGCAAATGTATTTGCTTAGCAATTTGTTTAGCACTGTAGAACCAGAATCGAGTCCCTGTGTTGATACCATTAACCACACATCATACAGGTTAAGACCATAGGATATGAAATCAGAGATTTCCTTTTGAAATATCCTAGTGGGATGACAGTGGGCCATTTATTTACTATCTTTAAACCTCAGTATATCCAATTTTTAAATAACAATGGTATTATTTATCACGTAATTTGGCTGTGAAGGTTAAATGAGATATATATGTGTATATATATATATTCACACAGTATATGGCATGAATTATAATTTCTTTCAGGTAGTAAGCACTCACTAGCTGTTAGCTGTCATTAACATTATGTGGGATTCAACTGGCAGATTAACCAATTTGAACTATTCCCTGGCTATTTCAAAGATACCGATTCATTTGTGTAAGAGTAAGTGTTACCTCAGGCTTGAACAAATAAGGCCCTTTTAATGTTCATAGTTACTTCAAATAACTTTACTATTTGTTGTTTGAATAAATTTTGATTTTAGGGCTGGGGATTTAGCTCAGTGGTTCTGGCGCCTGCCTCACAAGCACAAGGTTCCGAGTTCAATCCCCAGCACCAAAAAAAAAAATTTTTTTTTAATTCTAAAATGACAATTGAGATGTGCTCACTTTGGCAGCACATACCCTAAAATGACAATTGAGATATTTAAAATTTCATATCCATATCATTATTGCAATGACATTCCAAAAACAGCTAAAATAGTGATACATTTAAGGTTTCAACATTTTGAGTTAAAAACTACAGCATTCTTTGGATAAATGAAAGTCTCTAACTGGGCTAAAGAACTCATAAAAAAGTTTATACCACTTACATCTTTTTTATTTTTTTGGTACTGAGGATCAATGTACCACTTACTTCTTAATGAACCACACTTATAACTGAAATTTTAGAAGATATTAATTTATAATAATGAGAGAAAAATAGTACCCTATTAAGAAAAAAATTATGTTTTGTTTTTACATAAATACAAACACATGGAAATTGAATAAAACTCTTGTGAACATCCAATGGGTCACAGAGGAAATTAAAGAAGAAATTGGACAATTTCTACAAGTAAATGATAATGCCAGTACAACATACAGGAATCTATGGGACACAATGAAAGCAGTCCTACGAGGGAAATTCATAGCAGTCAATGCTCATATTAGGAAAACAGAGCTCAAATAAACAACCAAATGCTGAACCTCAAGCTCCTGGAAAAAGAAGAGCATGACAAACCCAAAACTCATACAAGAGAGGAAATTGTAAAGATCAGAGCAGAAATCAATGGAATGGAGACTAAGAGAATGATACAAAAAAAATCAATGAATCAAAGAGTTGGTTTTTGAAAGAATAAATAAAATCGATAAACCCTTAGCCAAACTTATCAAAAGAAGGAAAGGAAAGGCTCAAATCCATGCAATTAAGAGTGAAAAAGGTAAAGTCACAACGGATCCAGCAGAAATCCAGAGGATCATCAATACCTACTTTGAGAACCTGTACTCTAATAA